AATGGATTTTGATACCAACTGCTGAAATCCACCAAGTTTCACAAGTTTACTTTTGAACATGCTGAGTTTAAGATGCTTCTGAGATATCTAAAAGTAGGTATTTAGAAGTTGTTGGTTGTACAGGTAATGATTTGGAATCATCAGAATAGGTATCGAGAGTAACTGAAGTCATCAAAGTTAAAGAAATTTCTAGCACAAATACACTAAAGAAAAAGAACAAAGTCTAAGACAGAGAGCTGAGTAACACCAACACATAAAGAACAAGTAGGAAAGAAGAACGACGAGACTGGGAAATACCAGCAAAGCGGCAGGAAGAAAATCAAGAGTAAGGTATCACTGAAGCCATATATAAAAGAGCATTAGAATCATTTTAAAGGATCTCTTTCCACTTAAAAAAAAAAGTCCAATTATCTTTATCTGCATCAACCACAAGGTTATTCAAATAGAAACTACAACAGTGACAACTACAAATGAAAACCTAGAAATGTGGATATCCCTTAATAACTTTGTATTTGCTTAAAGTACAAGCTTAAAACAGCATTTCAAAAAGTTTAACCTATTAACAATTTTAAAAATTCTTCATATCAGGCTTGTCAATATATAAATGACACTATCACACAAATTCAAGACAAGGAATAATTATCACTGAAAAATAAATCATGCGTCATCACCATTACATATTAGGTTTGTAAAGAACAGTCATAATTGTGAATAACTGTGTTACTTGATCTTATTGCCAAATTTAACTCTGTTTATTCTAAAAACAGAAATGTTTTAATCTATTTTGAGGGCTGCATATGTACAGTGCAAAATACCAAGAATAAAAAATTGTTTTATTAACTCCAAAAAGATTATAACATTCTACTCAAGAATGTTAACACAAATCTCTAACTAATATAATTCCAAAAAGAATTCCCCTCTGCCCTTAGCTACAAAGTTACTAACCATAATGTTCACAAAAGGAAAAAGAATAAACAGTATCATCAAAGATAAAAACCACCTTTTACTGAAAATTTTCCCCTCTGGGGATTTTCATATCTTCTGTGGAAAGCCTAGAAGGTGTTGTGTTGGAGGATAAAGCACTGTTATTCTAAAACTATCATGAGAACAAGATTGGCAGCATTATGAGATTACAGCTAGAGGAATTTTCCACTAAAATAGATATTTTAAAGCTTAGCAATTAGAAGAAGTACAAGACTCATGAGTAAAATCCTACTTTTAGAATGGATATCAAATATTTAGAAGCACTGGATAAATCATGAAATTCTTAAATAACCAATAAGTACATGACTGGTCTCCGTGTGTTTTATGTGTTTCTCTACCTTATTCTATTCCACCCCCACTCCCACTGTTAAAAAAAACAGCCTCTTACTCTATATAGGTCTTCTCTCTCTCCCCTCTTTAAACACACACACAGACACACAGAGCAACAACTAAAGATCAAAATTACCTCTCAGACTCCTTATTAAAATTATGATACATATTCACTGTGGGAAACAAATAATACGAATCAACATCTCCAGTAATCCTACCAACCCAGAGATAACTGCTGATATCAGTAGTTCATAATCTTTTGGGACTGCAGATCCCTTTGAAAATCTGATGAAAAATACAGCTCTTCTCCCAGATAAATAAACATTATATTCTTCTACATAGAATTTCAGCAGTTTATTAATAGATTTTAAGTTAAGAATGCTTTATGTATGTTATGATAGACTTTATTTGATATCATACTATTTGTAATATGCTCTCCCTCTTCCCATTTAACATAAATAGGTAATAATTTTCCTATAATTATTAATTCCTATCATTAATGGTTTTCTACAGACTCAGTTTAATGTCTGTATTATAACTCTGTATTAGTATGTCACAGCTAAACCCTATCTCATTGTTAGAAATTTTTAAGCTTTTCCAGTTAGGGGCCACCATACATGCTCATTTTTGGTATATTAAATATGGTGGATTATTCTAAAAAGATCACTATAAACTTTACCAAGTAAACATTCTACTAAGAACATTACACACTGGGAAAAAAACCCTACAAAAACACAACCACTGACCCATCTTTCCTAAGCCTTGAGTTTCAGAAATTTTACAACCACTGCCTCTAAGTAGTTTTCCAAAGGTTTTAAAAAGGAGATCAGTGAATATGTAAGAGATGTTCTAGAGAAACAACAGTTGATTAGTAAAATAGAGCATAACTAGAATGAGTGCTTAACAGATTCAATGCTTAAAAAGGTACAGCCTTGATACTTATGAGAAAAAAATAAGTATCAAATTCATAACTTATAAGAGCACACATACAAACTAGTCTTGCATGTGCTTGTATCCTCTAATGACTTTTTAAGAATTTGCCTATTTTACTGAAGTTATTTGATTTACTGAAAATATTTTCTAACATATAATGCCAAATTTCTATCCTTTAGCCCATTCCTTTTCTCCATCTTCATTCATCAGCAAACACTCTCTAAGAAACATCCATATTCTAGTCTTTGTTACAACTTGCTGACAGATTAATGAAAGTAATGAACTGTTGATGTACAATACAACTCCTCTAGAAAGGAATCGATCATTTCAGATCTAGATTCTAGATTTTGTGTTTGTTCTTTTTCTTTTTAGATAGTATTCAAACTACAAGTTGCCATGAGTCAGTGAATAATGACTAGAAACAAATTTTTTTTGTTTTATAACAGTTATTAAATGTGGCTAAACCTCTGAGAGCTGCAAATTAACAAACCGCATGCTCTAAGCTATGAAAATAAAGGAAGTAATAGGTATACAAACAGGTCACAAGTAAAATAATGGTCTGAAAATCTAAAAAATAAAAACATACACCATGTGAAATCAATTTTCTTCCTGATTTAACACAATGATATGTAAATAAACCTTTTGATGAGGATTTATAAAACCATTCCCCTAACGATTCTAACTAAAGAATACAAATCTGAAAAGTATCAATCATAATTTAAGGTTTATTATTTAATAAGAACTAAATATGTATGAATGATACAACAAACTTGTTAAGTTACTGAAGTTTGTCTTTACTCTCCAAACCAGAAACTGATGATAAAAAGTTTTTTGGCTTGACAATGTAACCTGGAAATAGGCCAAATGAAAGCTATTTGATTGGTAATGATTGCTAGCAAAAGAAAAGATTCTTTCCAGTTTAAACTATTCATGTTAAGTAAAAATTACCAAGTAAAAACATAAATGTTAGAACCTTAAAAGAATCACAGGTTTCGTTATACCTACATCAAAATACTCATAAATGAAAATGAAAGCAGCAGCAGTGACAAACATATCAGATCCACTTATTCAAATGTTGATTATCTTGGCCTTATCTCTTCTAGAAGTTAAAAACTAAATTTTATTTCTATAATAACTTGGTATTAAAATTAGAGATCTTCTTAATCAGTGTTTTATTTAGATGAACTATAAAAACTACAACTTTTAACCAAATATTTTAAACTTTACCATAAAATAGAGGAAGACAAAGGTTTGATATGTATAAATCTAGGTGGACTGTCTTGTGCAAGCATGTGGGCTCTGGAGTTAGGTGCCCTGAGTTCAAATCTAGATTCTTCTACTCACTAGCTATGTAACCACAATGAAATTATTCTACCTCTTTACTGCATTTCATCTACAAAATGAAAGTAGATATTATACCTACTATACTTACCCTATAAGGTAACTGAGAATTGAATGAAGTTTCTATGCAAAGCACCTTGCACATTATAAGCACTTGATAAGATTTACCACTATTCTATAATTATTAGCACAAGTATGACCACATCTTCTGAAACTTTCATGGCTTCAACAGGGAAGGAAGCTAATATCCCAGGCATCTCCATTAAACACCTTCTCATACCTAACTCTGATTGTTCTTCCTATACATGTGCATACACGTTCAAACACATTTTCTGGTAAAAGCATTACTCATTGTGTAAAGGTGGCGCCATGGACTTGCTATGGTCTGAATGTGTCCCCCTAAAATTCATTTGCTGAAATCCCAATGCCCAATGTGAGGGTAATAAGAAGCGGGACCTTTGGGAGGTGCCTGGGTTACAAAGGTGAAGTCCTCATGAATGGAATTAGTGCCCCTGTAAAAGAGACCTCACACAGCTCTCCAGCCCCTTCCACAGGTGAAGACAGTGAGAGGCTGCTATTTTGCAACTGGCAAGAGGGTCTCACCAGAACATCACCGTGCTGGCAATCTGATCTCTGACTTCCAGCCTCCAGAACTGTGAGAAGGACATTTCTGTTGTCTGTGGTATTTTGTTACAGCAGCCTGAATGAACGAAGCTCGGAATGAATTGTGTACTCTACTCCCAAAATTCATATGCTGAAGCCCTAACCTCAATGTGATGGTATACTCGGAAGCAGGGCCTTTGGGAGGTACTTAGGTTCAGATAAGGTCGTGAGGGTGGGGCCCTTACGATGGGATTAGGATTAGTGCATTTATCAAAGGAGACACCAGGGAAGTCACCATTTCTCTCCCCACCATTTAAGGACACTGCAAGAAGGAAGCTCTCTGCATGTCAGGAGAAGAATCCTCATCAGAATCAGACCATGTGGCACCCTGACCTTGGACTTCATAACCTCTAGAACTGTGAGAAAATAAATTTCTGTTTTAGCCATTCTGTCCATGGTATTTTGTTATGGCATCCCAAGCTGACTAACAAGGTGATACACTTGTACTTTCAGTGTTTAAATACACAAAACAAAATGATTCTAAGTTTTTTCTTTTGCTAAGTTTATCAAACCCATACAAATTCATGGTGTGCAGTTTTCAAAGACTGCAGAGTATGTCAGAATAAGTTACGGTCAGACAGACATTACACTCTTGCCTACAATGTAATTTATTTTTAAGAGCACAATAGTAAAATTCCTTATTTTTCAAACAGCGGCTTTAAACAGTTTTAGTCAGTTAAGCCATGGTCAGAAAGACATTATACTCATGTCTACAATATGCTTTTAAGTCTTAACTTATGGATTCTTACCTCTTATATCTGCCTGTAACTGTTCTAGATGGCTCCTGTAAAGTAAAAAGGACATATCAGTTTGGGTATGTTTATAAGCACACAATTCCAAGTTACATAAAACAACTGATAGTGCTAGAACAACTACCACTACTTTTAAAAATTCACATTGCTGGTCAAACAAAACAAGACTCTATGTCTAATTTTTCAGACAAAATCAATCACTTTTTATAAATTATATCCTTAATTCGGAAGTATTTTACAAGCTCAGAAAATGAAAAAAGGATCATCATTCATCATCCAATCAGCTTAAACCTTTTCAGAAGTCAACAAGCATTAAAAAATACAACACATCTCCCTTCCAGTCTTTTTTATGCCCTAAGTTTTTTTAAAAAGCTACAACTCAACATACATATAGAATGATTAATGCTTATTTTAAAGACAGCTAAAAATGAAATGTGAGAAAGTACTTTTTATGCTGATTCTAAGCTACCCATAAAAGAAAACAATTGCTGAAAGTTAACATTAAGCATTGGGATGAGAAAGCTATTACCTCACAATTAACCAGTCAGTCATTTCTCTGTTCAATCTTTTGCAGTTTCATCTTAATAACACTGGTCAAAATTAAATAAGTCTTCTTAAAAACTGATGAGAACTCTTTTTTTTCTAGTTAATCATTAAAAATCTCCATGAGAGACTCTCTGAGTTATTTCTGATCTGGTTAAAATCAGAGAATAAGTTCCCTTTGTAAGATGACCAGATTCCAGACTGAAACAGCAAATACTGACTGCTTGCTGCAATAAAGAACATCTCAATGTGGGAAAACAGTGCGAAAAACCATACGGTTAAGAGTAAGATTTAGATTCAAGTTCCAACCAGATTGGCTACCCTAGCTGCAAGACTATGGGTAAGTTACTTAACTTCTCTCAGCCTCAGTTTCTTCACCTCTAAAATAGGAATAACAACTATGTCTATTTTACTGGGTTGTTGTGGGGATTAAATGACATAAGTGATAAAACAATTGGCAAAACTCTTTACAACAGGCTAATAATTTAAATTTGACAGCTAAGATATTAAAAAAAAAACCCTGGGGTATAGAAAAACCATTATTGAATTTTCTATGTGGAATTTTAATAAATCTGACAATTATTCCAAGTCAGTAAATTCCCATTATAATAGACTACATCATTTACTTAAGTATAACTTTAAGTACAATAGAAACTTCTGGAAGGCAGGGACCCCTTCCAGACTCTTTTCCCCCTCCAAAACCTCAGCTCAAATAGTATGCAATAAATATATACTGGCAACTTACAGAAATAACTTCCTTAGTAATCTACAATTATAGAAAAAGCACCACTTTGGAATTAACCAGTTGCAGGAAGTAAACCAGGTGACAAGGTACTAAAAGTACCCATGTGTGTGGGCCTGACCCTTTACCAGGATTACCTCTGGAGAAGCCATGCTTTGACAGTTGGTTCAAAGACATTTTAACCCTCCCCTGGGCATCAGCTGTTCTTACAGCAGAGACAGCAACAAAAGCCTAGCAAGAAAACTTTAAAGAGTTCTTATCTGCCTGTTATCTGCCTGTCATTAAAGTGTCAGCCTCTAAAGATGAAGCAGATTAATCTTTGTACTCTGTACACCAAACATGTAAAACAAATCTCCTATTTATAAAAATATGGTATCTCTAAGTGAATAACAACAAAGAAAATACTTCATAAAATCTAGCTTTTAAACTACTTTTGAAACCATAGTAACTAGATTAAAATGTTTAATCACTGGTTATTTAGACAAAGTAGAAAGAAATAAGAAGGTATGTGTATCCAACTCAAAGCACATTTTATTGAATGCAGATAATAATGACTTCATATGGAACGTCCCCCTAAAGTTTCACAAAACAATATTCCAACTAACATTTTATCAAGATTCTTTCATAAAATTCTCTTATCTTATTCTATTATAAAGCTATGGCATAGACCTTAAATGATGTCTATCTAAGTATGCATTAGAAAAAATGATAATAATGCCTTAAGTTCCAAAACAACACCTCTCTCATTTTAATTATAAGTGAAATATTTCAAAACATGACATCAGCTTGAATTATCCAGACCACCTCTTGCTGAAATGGAATAAGCAGAATTTTTAAATAAGAATAGCCTTTGTTGCATTTACCGACTTGTGCGTAACTGATGTATCAATTGTCTTGGTATGAACAACCGGGCAATAAATAACATTTCTGAGGCATTTTCGCCTAACATGGTAAAACTTAATATCATGACAGCAGAATTTTAATAAACACAAAAATGTGAAATGGAGGATGTTTTCAGCAACACTACACTATATTGGCATACTACTTTTAAATACTTTGACCCAACTAGAAATGACTTAAAGTCAGTACAAACAACTTTCCACTAAAGCATACTAATAGGAAGTTGTGTAATATCAATTTTCATCATTTTTCACAGCTTAAAAAAAAACAATAACTAGTCACTTGAAACATATCTCAAATTTTACATATTTTCTATACAGCTAGTTTGGTGCAACTGATGAAATTACAACTCGGGCATATTTGATCAAATCACTCCATGCGCATGTCCAAGATATGTAAACAATTAGAATGTAAGCCTATTTCTATAGAATATTCAACAGTTAAGATTCTAAAGCAGATAGACAACACTTAAGCTTATTTATTTGTCAGATTTGAATATAGCTTTTATTAGATTATACATTTTGTAGCTAAATGTTCTTTCACGGTGATTCCAGTAATCAAACTCCATTGCTTAACATTGGAACGTTCCCTAAATCAAATAAACTATATTAGTATTGGCAGAGATTGTGAGGGATGGTAGCCTGTTCCTCATGTCTATTCAAAACTGACATTTACAGATGGAATTTAAAGTGATCTGTATGCCCTGCCAAAAAGAGGAAAAAGAAATGTTAGATAGAAAAAAACAAAATCAACCCCTATAGTGCAGTGAACAGTCTCTTATAATTTTAAGAAAGAAAATGCTTGCTGTTTCTATATCTATTAATACAAAAGTCTGTACAAATATACACCTTTGATTCATTAACTAGAAGCCTTTATATCTCTGTGGCCTCAAAGATTTCCAAGTAAAGAGTGAAAACTTAATAATGACTGTAACTATTAAAGTTGACAATTCCATTCTAAATGTTAGTGGGGTGGAGGAGAAATACCAGTATCACTGAAACTGCTTATAAACAATACAAATGCTAATAAGACTCTACTGGTCTTAAAAGTTTCAAAGACTATGTAATTAGACCTTCCAATAACCCTAAAGTCTATTATACAACTGATTTAAAATGTACTTTCCTGAAATAATCTTCCTTGCAGTAGGATGGTTTACATTACTAAAGGGAGGAGGAAAGATCTATGTAGAGCTTAGAAAATGTTGGCAAAGCACAGACTGTCTGGTGTAAGTTTAAATAAAACAATCCGCTTCATTTAAGCTTAGAATGGTCAAAAAGGAAATCCCATGAACATTGTCTTTACAGGTGCAATGGCAGATCAGAACTTGTGAAGTATAAACAAATACAAAAGCAGATGTGAAATAAGATCAGACCAATACATGCCCAGGAGAATATAGTAAAATAATACTGAAGTGATTGAAATAAACTAATTATCAACAAAGCTAAAGCCTTCAGTAGAACAATGGCATGATGTATTCACTGGCCCTCAACACCAACCCCTCAGCACTAACCTAAAACACCCATACTGGGGTACAGAATATAGTAAGGTGCACTGGTTAAGATGAATGCAGAACAAACTAACTGCAATGTATAACTGACAAAATAATTTTAAAAATGGAAGTAAGAACTTCATCAAATTAACAAAGATTAAAAAAGCAGAAACTATAGTCAATATTTATAGTAACTATAAATGGAGTATAACCTTTAAAAATTGTGAATCACTAAATTGTAAACCTGTAACATATCTAATATTGTAAAGCAACTATACTTCAATTAAAAAAAAAAACCAGAAACTGTCATCATTCCCCCTCCTTTCCTGAACTAAATCGATTTAGTCCTAAAGCCATTACGTGGGGCAGAGCAAGCTGCGAAGGAACACGGTGGCCCAAACCGGGGTATCAGGATACGGAAATGCTACTCGATAAAGAGCTGCCTGGCAGAGAGGAGAGTCCAAGCAAACTGAAGAGAGCGTCCATACAGTAAGTAGGAGGATCTGGCCTGGCCTGAGAAATCAGAGCCTAAGCAGAATGAAGGGGGGTCTCAAAGCAGGAAAGGGAAGTCAGGTATCAGGTCTGAGGCAAGGGACGCTGAGAGTCCCAAGTAGGGTGTGATGGTCATCTTTTCAGGAGGGCAGCCCAGAATGGGAATTTAGAGCCCAAGAAGGGTAAAGAAGGTGTTCCTTCAAAGAGGCAGGCTGGCATGGGGAATTCACAGTCCTCGCAGGGTGTGGAGAGCATCTCTGGAGGGGATGACCAGGGCTGATATGCCAGAGCTCAAATACGATGAAGACAGTATCCACAGAGACTAGCAGCTGGGCCTGGAGGCCAAAACCCAGTCAGATTGATGAGGGGTCCCCATGGAGAAGTAACCCAGCAGGATGTCTCAGTAGGAGCAGGAATAAAGAAAAGAACCTAGGGAAGAGCAGCCTGTCACAGGATGGCAGAAGCTAAGCAGGGTAAGGCGGGGAACCACAGAGGGGTTGATCCAGTGTGGGGTGATCTGGTGTGGGGAGCCACAATCCAGGCAGGGTAAGAAGGGTGTCCTGTAGCCTTACGTGGGATGCCCAGGCCTGAACAAAGTAAGGAGAGTGTTCATGCCCAAGGTAGAGCTAATGTGTGATGTCAGAACCCACTTGTGGTGAGGAGGACTTAAGTGTGGGGAAGGAGTGGCAATGGGAGATAGGTTATGCACAAGGGGAACTAAACAAATAGGAAAACATACTAAGAATAACAGGAAATAGGTTCCTCGATGTCACAAAAGGGGGTTACAAATAGATTAAGCCTTATGCTATGAGATTAGAATTGGCCATATCAGTATAAATTAGTTTCAATATCTACATAGATAGACAGATGTAGCTAGCTAGGTAGGCAAGCAGCAGACATATATATATCTGTATATACATCCATTTTGTAGATCTGTACATAGAGAGGGACTAGGAATGGTGACATCTCAATAACATGAAGATACCTACAGCCCAGATCTCGGCTTCAAAGTATCATTCTCTGGTAAAAGGAATCAGGGCTCCTTAGAGAGAAATAGCTGCTTCTAAGACTGGAGTAAGAAAGCTAAAGATGAGGCTGTAATATTTCATTATGCCAGAAAACAAGTATTCCAAGAATGATGGAGGCGCAGTAAAGGACACAAAAGGTCGAAGGGGCCCCCACAGGCCACATCCGGGATAATATGAATATTAAAGTAAATAATGATGGTATCATAGGCAGATTAATGACCCTTAAAGATGTTCACATTCTGATCTCTATAACCTTCAAACATATTAGGTTACACAGCAAAGAAAAACTAAGGCTGCTAATCAATGACCCTAAATAGAGAGATTATACTGGGTTATCTGATAAGCCCACTGTAATCACAAAGGTCACTGAGAGTGGAAGAGAGGGACAGAAGACGGGCAGAAGGAGATAATGGCAAAGAAGAAAGGTCACAATGACACCATGTGAGAAGCACTCAACCCATCGCTGCTGACTCTGAAGAAGGAAGAGGGACAAGGACTACAGGGAGCAGCTAGAAGCTGGGAAAGGCAAGGAAACTAATTCTTCCCTAAAGCCTCCAAAATGGAATGCAGCTCTGATGTTAGCCTTTGATTTCAGTCCTTGATTTTAGCCCATTGAGACTCATGTGGGACTTCCAACTTACAGAAATGCAGAATAGTGTATTTGTGTTGTTCAAAGACACCACATGTGTGGTAATTTGTTATAGTAGCAAGAGCAAACTAATACAGATGCTAACAAGGTATAACTCATCAGATAAAATAGGTAATAGTGTGTCAGTATAGATATACAGATATAAACACATGATAAATGGATAGAGATAAACAGAAAGTCCAATGGGGATTAAGATATCTACATGGTTCAAAGCACTCGTGCACAAAATATTTATTAAGAAGGGGCAGAGAACACTGGCGGACATCACCTTAATCACATGACCAAAGTGATCATCATCAGCAATGAAACAAATTAAGATCATTGATCACCTGACAGGATACACAGTGAGAAAAACAGCACCAATCCTGTGATATTTCTGACAAAGACGTAAAACCTGAATCTAATTATAATTAAGTATTAGATAACCTAAATGGAAGGCCATATCACAAAATAAATGACCTATAATCTTAAGAAATGTTAAGATTAAGAAAGTTAAGGAAAGACTGTGGAACTTTTTCTGACTGAAGAAACTAAAGCTATATGACAGCAACTAAATACAGTGTGATTCTGAATTGGAACCTTTTGCCATAACTTAGGACATGATCGGGACAACAGAAGAAACTTGTTAAGATCTGACTATATTAGATGGTATAAAAATATGTCAACTGTAATTTCCTATTTTTTAAAGTTGTATGGTGGTTATGTAGAAGACCTTGATTGCAGAAAACACACAGTGAAGTTTGAGGATAAGAGGGTATCAGGTTAGCATCTTATTCTTAGACAATTTAAGGGGAAAAAGTTCTCTGTGCACAATACTTGCAACTTTTTAGCACACTTGAGATGGTGTTAAAAGGCACATCAATAAATGATCAAATAAAAGAAAGGAGAAACATAAAATTTGTAATTGCCCTTTCACAAAATGCCATTGATTATATAAACTGATAAACTGTTTTCATAAGTAATTTAGGCAATATGTATTACAAATTTTTTAAATCTTTAAAACAGTTTATGGCTTTTGGCCAAGTAAGTTTATTTCTGGTAGAAGTTTAATCTATACAGATGTTAATTCCAGTATTATTCTTAACAGTAAAAAACGTTAACCACTGAAAACTTCTATTAATGAGAAATCTATGGCAACTATCATACACATTAAAAAAGTAAATTCTATACCACTGAATATAATACACAAAGTGCTTTGAATAACATGAAAAAAATATTCATGCTGTAACACCTACAAAGATAATTTTGGCAATGTGATCAAAATTACAGATGCACATTCCTTTTCACCCAGAAATTCTAGTGGTAGGGTTTTATCCTACTTATTTATACACACATATGCAAAATAACATATGTTGAAAGTTTTTTCACCAACATATTGTTTGTAATAGAAAAAATATATATATATAACCCAAATGACCACCAACAGAAATGAGTTAGAAAAATGATACATCTATAAAACAGAATATTTTGCATTTACAAAAAATAATAGAGAAGCGCTTTATGTACTATTGTGGAAGTCTCTCCACAATATTAAATGAAAAGAGCAAGATGCAAAACAGTGCTTAAAATTAGGAACATATACACACACATACGTACAGATATACATACAGATATATTTGTTTATGGACTATCTTTGGAAGGACAGACAAGAAAAGCACTAGTTGCCTCCAAAGAAGGTAATTAGGTAGCTGAGGGAGACTTTTCACCACATAGCTTTCTATGCTTTCTACATTTTTACCATGTGACAGTATGCTTCTTCTTAAATTAACTAAGTCTAAAGTTTAAAATTTAATAAGTAGTTCACAAAAACACAAGAGTAAAGAAAGAGAGCAAACTAGGTAATTTCCTCTTTGTTTTACATTTATATTATTTTTAAAATTTTCCATTGATTAAGTATTATTTAATCAGATAATTAATGTATCACTTTAAAAACTGGCATGATTATCTAGGGAAAACATGGCTAATAATGTGTAAAATTACAGTTAAAAACATAAGAATTTTAACGGCTCATTTCTTATTACTACTACTGCATATTACCTGAAAAATGTCAAACAGAATCATAAATTACTCTAACCTTTCACAAAGCATACTGTTGTGTCAAATTCCTATTCCCATTTCATTCTTCATTTTTAAAAATCTGTTTCATTGAATGGCTCAAGTTCACATAGATAATACTAAGGAAGTCTTTCTTTCTGTCCTATTCAAAAAAGCCTTTAAACAACCAATGATGCCTTTATTTTCTCCCTTTTTGTTGTTTTTTTAAGTTGGAGTTGTAAATAAAATCAATCCTATACGAGTAACAGAATATATGAGTTTAGATAGTAACTCAAAGAGAAGTCATCTACGTAGACACAGAGTTCCTGTTCCCATTCCAACTTCAGTGTGGCAACCTGGGACCCGTGGGAGAGTCTTCGCCTCACTTTCATCCTAAGCACACAGCCTGGCAAAACAGAAACTTACAACCAAGAGCACCAGTGAGTCACATCCTAATTGCTAATGAAACAAACAAATGAACAAAAATGAGAGCAATGAAGGGTGGATCTAGGAAGAGGTCAGAAAAGCTACAGGAAAGAAGATAAACCAGATGAGGCAGAAAGCTCCTGAGAGCTCAGATCAGCTGAGACTGCTCCATATCCCGGTATGCACCTGGGACTGAGCTAAACACTAGGCTCCCCAGCTTTGCCTGGGTAAGGATTTCATTCAACAGAAGGAAATCAGCCCTCTTTCTAAAAGCTGCTGCCTGATGTTTTGAGTATGCCAGAATTAAGTGACATGAACAAGAACTGAAAACAAGACTCAATTCTTAATCAAAACGCTATATTGCCTCTATCCCAATAAATTAAGCCTATTTCTTCACGTGGAATAGGCATATTCAATTTCAACTTTGCTAGACAAAGGATAGATACAAAGATATTTTAGACTCTGAACAGTCACAGAGGTGCTGAGAAGCACTGCTGGTGAGCCTACACCACGTTATAATAGGGTAGTACTCCTCCTAGCAGTAGCAACTCGACTACAAGGGAGCAGATAAACCCGCATCACTCTACGATTCTTTATGTCAATACATCTGCCTCAAACAGCAGAGAAGAAAGAAGCCTTGCACTCGCATCCAAACCACTTCAGAGCATTTTGCCTCTCACTGCGAAATGTCTTTTATCATAAATTTGCAAATTAATAGACAGGTTTGTATGTCATTTTTTTATCAATAAAATGCGAAGATGTTCGTACTGCTCAGAAACTCTTTTTAAAGTGGCATAATAAAATGCATTTAAAAAGTCAAAGCTGTACCTCTGAAAAGACAACACAGTAGCTGAAGATCTCAAAATGTCGTCAAATTAATTTAAGATTAGATTATATCAAGACCATTCCCAAATGACAATTTATATGGAATGATTTTGCAGAGGGACTTGCTTCAAACTGAGGCATACCAATACCGACAACTTTCAATTTTCAGCACCACAAGAACCCAAGATAACAAACAGCTAATTCAAAACTGACTTAATTTTATTTTTACAAATATTTTATAATTACAAAGAAATATTGATGTTTCTGTTGATTCACAATACTATATATTGTGTTTTATTATTATGCTTAAATATCTGAATTTGTAGGATCTTGTTATTCAACTCTTTATTTGCTGCATAATTCTAGTGTAAATATAAGCCTAGAGCAAAACTGTCCACTCACTTAAACTCACTAATTCTGACTTTTTAAGAGCAAAAAGGTAATTATTTTTCCTGGTTATTTTACAGTTGATACTGTTTAAACCTGCTTAATCAGTCAGTCAGCAAATACTGATCAGGAACTAAGGACCAAGTACTGCTTACATTAAAAAAGTATTTGCATATAAGGAAAGTCAGTGGTTAAATCCAGTGAAAATACTTAAATGGAGTTGATGCAACCAAAATGAAACTGGAAAAAATTATTAACAGTAACTTAAAAATTATCATTAAAACAGCTAGTGACATTTCAGAATTTTTAAACACTCACTTGCAGCAGATAGGAACTGCCTGGATCTAATAAGCTTGCAGCCTCATTCTGCATCGTGTTCTGTTGTGTAATTGCATCTTCTCGTTTCCGCTCTTTCTGCCCAGCTTCGTCATCTTCATATTCATCTAAGCACTGAATGAAAGAAGAGTTTCCATTTTATTTCCATATAATATTAATAAAATGTTTTGACAGTATATGAAGAAACATTTGATAGCATTACAAAGTATTTGTGCATTCAGAAACTAATTTACACAATAAAGGTGTTTCTTTCAACAACAGGTTCATTTAACTCATGTAAACTAAATTATCTGCTTAAAATCCAAACCTCCACATTCACACCCCTGCCAATGTATCTTTTCTCTAGGCTCTAACTACCAGTGACAGGGTTTGCTTAAAGGCAGGGTTCAGTCTAATTTTTTATTACTTAATCAAGTAAATGGGCTGTCCATGGTAAACCAAGTAAATGGACATGTGTGCGGATAACTTACTGAGACAGGCCATTTTCTAGCTTAGTAGTACCTTTATGAGTATTTTCACCTGGGGAGGAAGTCGTCTACAAAGACTGTAGGCCAGCTTATAATTTAAAGGATGGGTTTAATTTCGAAATGCATATATAGGGGAAAAAAGTATTTCTGATGATGAGAAGAGCATATGGAAAAGCTTACAGGAAAGGGTGCTGTTTAAAAAGCTGAATCAATACCTGTGTAATCTATCTCCAAACTTTTTACGTGAAAAGAAAACCCATAAACAGAAACAAAACTCTACCCATTACATCCATTGTGAAGTGGGTCATCTGTTCCTTGCAACTAAACACATTCTTAACCAATACACTATCCTATAAGAGACAAAAATCAGTAGTATCTCTGCAGGCGCTCTATAAACACTAAGACACTGACAGCACAGAATGGCAGAAAAAAACAAGAGGATTTACAACTTGTGCAAAGAGAAAAGAAAGACTGAGGCCGCTATGATAACCAAGAAAGGTCACTGGGGCATGTGTAATAGGAGAACATAGCAGATAAGCAGAACATTCAAAGACACAAGGTCCATGGTTGCAGGTATGGAAGAAAGCATCTATTTGAGTCTTAAGTTAGGATGATGTGGAGAGAAAGTCGGGGGACAGAATGGAAGGAGTGAATTAATGAAACAAGTAGGCTGAGATTCCAGAGAATGTCCAGGGTCCTCTCCTGTAATGCAACTAACTGTGTAGAGGTGTCACCTGGCCCTCATCTCTTCACCCTGGGGGAACTGGGGTTAGGTAACTGGTACAAGAAAAATGATAGTACTGTGGCTTCTGCTATTTCTGTGAGTAACAAACTGTCCTTGACTCTGACCCGGAGACAAGTGTCTTCTGCCAGGATCCATTAAACTATAGCAGGCCAATGCATTAACTTTCAAGCAGGGTAAGATCTCAGAACCTTCACAGTTCTTGACAGAAGTGAGGACTGGAAAGGTACATACTCTGATCACAAAGGAACATAAATAATAAATGGCCTGAGAAGTCTGGACTTTTCACTACGTAACATGGAAAGATGTTATAGTGTTATAATTCTCTGGAATAGAAGTAAAACATGATCAAAACTGATTTGAGGGAAAGAGCCTGTATATAGCAATTCAGAACTCTGATTAACAGGGACAGGGACCAAAAGTGGAGAGACTACTTAAAGAACACAGTAGGCAATTTGATCCTATGAAGAATTATATAACCTAGGAGGAAAACAGAACCAATCAAAATCTAGTAAAGGGTAGCAAACTTTAAGAAATTAGTCCTGATTAGAAAAAGAATCTCTCTTAAGACTGTTAAAAAGACTTTCTCAAACCAATAGAGAGTATCATGTTTTAGGCAAAATATCAACAAAATTCAAAAACAAAGCCAAAATTAAGATAACTGATGACCACTATCAACACAGGTGTTAATATCATGCTGAAAGTGCTATCTAATAAAACTAGGGAAGAAGAATAAGAGATTTCAGCATTAGAAAGGCAAATTTCTCATCATTTCAAATGATACAATTTTGTCAACCTAAAAATATTTCAGAATTATTAGAGTTCTTTAAGATGGTTTTTCATTAAGTATACAAAAATTAGTAACCTCTCAAAGTAACATCAATAGCTAGGTAGCTTATATAATTTTAGTAGTAACCATAAAAAAACTAAAAAACTATAAAACTTTACAGAACTTCAATAAAAATAAACAGATATCAAAAAAAACTTTACTGAGGGATATAAACTAAAACCTATTCTTAAATTAAGGGAAAAATTAATATTGTTAAGGTATCAATAGCCTATAAATCAATTCATAAGTTGAATTTACTTGGAAAGGAAAGGTGGATCATCTGGATGAGTAAATACCTCCAGAAAAACTGCTTTTTAAGGAAAGTTATGACAGAACACTCACTCTAGTTAACATTAAAGCGTATAAAACCACAATACTGAAAACTGTATGATAAAGATCTTGGAAAAGAGAAAGAAGTAAAGAAATTCTTTAATACACAGTACTGAGACAAGAGGTCAACAAGAGTATGAGATCTGGAAAGAATAAAGAGCGGTCTCATCCAGTCTTCTACTCTGTGCAAACAATCATTCTCTAGCACCTAGACTGCAAAACCCCCTGACCACAGGGTCAAATGTCAATAGCATGAAGCCAAAATTCTTAAGTCAGAGAGTAGTACAGACTCCCTTGCCAGCACATTAAAAGTAAGATAAAGAAAATAAACCAGTGAATGTTTGCTAAATGAATGAATGAGTTACCAAGACGAGACAAGTCAGGAGATGGACTATGGCACCCCAAGTCAAAATTCTGAATGCTCTTTCCTTCACAACACTCTTACCCACTGACCCGAGAACCTATTTATCACACATACTTCACACATACTATCTCTGTGGAGAGTGTGTACATCTTACTTTCCAGGAAGCTTTTGGAACAGGGACTACAGGATGAATCACAATTTCCCTCCAAAGTTCTTCTAGAAACCAGTACGGTTCTTTTAGCAACAAGCATCTTACAGATTCTTTAAGCTTTCTTACTTAACTGGGATAAATACACCTGGAGGAACTATTTGGTCAAAATGGTGAGAAATAAGAAAAGAATGAAAGCAAAAAAGAGCTGAGTTAATGGACAAAGGTGGGTAAAGATATTCTCTATTTCTATTTCTTGCAAAGATTAATAATTCTCTGAGCACAGAGTTGGCTGGTATCCTTAAGGGAGAGAGAGCTGCTATTTAAACAAGTACTAGCAAAAAAGAACCAAAAAAACCCTCTAAATATTTTTTAAAAGATTCTTTCTGAATTATAAGCTTTTTATCTGCAAAAGAAAAATATGAGAAGAAAATAGTTACTGATTTTATATTATACTTACATCAACAATGTGAAACTGAATCTCCTGTCTTTCTCAGATCTCATTTATAGATAAATGTAAACATGTAAGTTATTCTCTCCTTTTAGACAGGATTAGACAGGAAGTTGCATGAGAACTGGGTTAACAATTATTTGAAATTGAAACCAAAAATGGAGATTTTATGAAATAATAAGCATCACTAATTCTCATCAAGCTCTTCCCTTTTCCCAAAGATGCATTTTAGAGTTCTAATATTTTAGCAAATAAAACCTCAGAACAAAAAGAAAATGTATTATTTTCATTGCTAATTACAACATACCAATGTTGAAAAAAAAAGAAGCTATTTTTACATGCTATAAAAATTATTCAGATTTTTGCTACAGATCTGACAAAGTAACCAAATTTTAAAAAAGAAACTGGGTGGGTGTTTCTTTTTTTTTTTTTTTTAGGTACTATTAGTTAGGACTTTAAAAAGCTGTACTTCATAGGAACACAACAGAAAGTTCAGAAATAGATCCAAATACAAAGACAAATTGTGTTTACAGTACAAGTGGAAACTCACACCGGGGGAAAGGATGGTCTTTTTTTAAATATGTAGTTTGGGGATAACTGAGTACCTATATTTAAAAAAATATATGACACTGGATTTATTCACATACCCAGATAAATTTCAGTGCATCATTAAAAAATGGGCAAAAATTGGAAGACACTCCACCAAAGAAACTACAGGGATGGCAAATAAACACATGAAAAAAGGCTCGTATCATTAGTTATGAGGGGAATGCAAGTGAAAACAATGGGCTACACACCTACTTGAATAATAAAATTAAAGACTGACTAAAATTAAAGGGTTAATGAGGATTTGAAACAACTGAGCATCTCGTATATTGCGAATAGGAACTAACAGTGGTACGGTCACATGGGGAAAAGTTTGGCAGTTCTTATAAATTTAAATATACACTTATCATATGACCCAGCAATTCTACTCCCAGTTATTTACCAAGAGAAATAAAAACATATTCACTTAAAACTTCTATAAAAACTTGCAAAAAAATCAGTTTTCATAATAGCCCAAAACTGGAAGTAAGTCCAAATGTACATCAACTGGTGAACAGATAACCAAAGAGTAGTGCAGCCATGTAGTGGAATACTACTCAGTCACAAAATGAATGAATCTCAGAAACATTATGCTAAGTGGAGGACACCAGAAATGAAGACTATATAGTGTATGATTCCGTTTATATAAAATTCTAGAGAAAGCAAAATCAGTGACGGAGAGCAGATCAGTGGTTGTCAGGAGCTGTACCTGAGGGGAGGGGCCGGACCAGAAAGGGAGCAGGAGTGATGAAATGTTCTATATCCGGATTCTCATGGTGGTCTACCCAGTTGTGTACATTTGTCAAAATTCATCAAGTCACACTCTTAAAACAGTAGCACGTTATTATACGTAAAAGATACCTTAATAAATGATTTACAAAAAAATAAATATCATGGAGGTACTGAATAAATATAATGAGTATAAAAACAAGACTGAACCTAAACCTGATTAAGAGTCTAGATCCAACTGCCAATGATAGGAAACAGAGAGGGCAGAAAAACATTAGCCAACACGATGGAGATACAATCGTGAAAAACCAGACTGTGGGAACTCCAAGCAGGTGCTGGAAAACTGTAAAGGACTAAGGAGCAAATATTGTCATCTGGGGCTACGTAAGGTCTGTTGCTTTTTTTTTAAATACTTCAAAAATGTAAAAACCATTTTTAGCTCTTTATTATCCAGAAACAAGACCCCTGC